TAATATCAATGTTATTACTTGAAAAAACTTGATGAACTCGCCGGTTTTTACCGATCTGGAAATATTTTTAGACCGGCCGGTGACTGGCCGGACCGGATCGGTCTAGTATTTCCAGACCCGTTACAACTCTGCTCTGATGTAGCAAAACATCGTTCCATAACAGCCAAAAGCATTATGCTTTTGGCTGTTATGGTACTATGGACTATATTATAGTAAGAAGCCAGTGCAGGCAATGTCACAACGAGATAAAGGCGAGGTTTACAGTATACACCTGACCAACTGTCTAAGGTACTTCCATACTGAATCGTAGTTAAACGAGTTGGAACGCAGAATATAATAGCAAGTAGTTGAAAGATAGTGGTGCAGAATAAATAGATCACAGAAGAAGGACCGATTTGCTGTAGTGTTGTCGAATAGCTGCTGGTCGACATACGTACGTTTTTGCTCTATTATTTGTTGGATAAAGTATGTAATGATTCTGAAAGTAATAAAGAAAGTTCTGCTTGTTTCTCTTTTTTATTACCACTTGATGAAAAGTGAAAAGTTCTCAATATTGATCCCTTCATGGCGGCATTAAGTGAAACTTTTACATTATTGTGCTCTTACATTATGTCATCTGTATTTAGTTATGAATGAATGAGAAAAAGCAGATGAACAGAGCTACTTAAGCAAGATCTGACATATATAGAATGACAATTCAAGCATGTAAGGAATTATGATGTCGAGAAAGCAAAAACCATTTCCTACAGATGTGATTATTGTTAATGAAGAGTAAAAGGATTATTTTTATCAATCACGTTTATGGATGTCTCATTTGAATTCAAGTAGAAACTTCACATCAAGGTTTGGCGCTTTTTTCTGCAGAGGATTGTCAATGCTAAATGCGTAGTCTTGTTCCATGATCTTGTTGTTGCATACTTATCTCAAATGGGTCACTTCAATTTTTGCAAAAAAAGGTTTTAAATTTTCGAAAAAGATGCGTAGGGAACCGAATGTGCATTAAAGAAACTAAGTGTTTTCTTATCGTTTTAAAAGATTGTTTCATTTGCATACTGTTTTTCTGATGACTTTTGACTTCTAAAATAACATTACGTAGTGATATTACAGTTTAAAACATTCTGATGTATTTGACTGATGTATTGTCGAATTATTCTTCATATTTAATTAAAAATGAGTAGCGACTTATCGAGCTCATCAATAACGTTTTCCCAGACAAATTCAAACACAGGTTCATCCGGAGCACGAACAGTTTTACGATCAAATTCAATGCCACCTGTTAGTCCAAAACGGCTCGGAATCAGTAATGAAGGAGAAAATAAGAATTTACATCGATCAAAATCTCGAATACCACAGTCAAGAAGGAAACGATCACTGCCACATCGCGGAAAGAAAACCAACTTTAATCAAACAGACGACGGAGATGGAATGGACCAAGGTGATAATAACAAGGAGAATAATAATGAATTCGATCAAGCTCAACAGCAGGGTTTTGATAGCGACAATCAACTGAATACATCGGCCGCCAGTGACGAAACAATCGCTGATCAAAATTCCAAATCAAATACGAAAAGTGATCCATTACAAAAACGGGCTGTCGAATATTTTACATATAAACCACATTCAGGTCATTATACATGTACATTATGTAATGAAACAAGTGAAATCTTCTAGCCTTTGTCGTATTTCTTAGTCTTCTGCATAGCCAGTTCTTCTCATTTAAAGAGTTTTGACGGTTTTGAATCGATAAACTTTAAGAGGGCGTCTTGAGTAGGTAATGCAAGCTTCTGGATATACTTTAATATAGAAAAGAAAGATTGCAAAAAACGGTCTTGTTTGTCTGAAAAGTACATCATTTCTTTTTCTTAGTAGAAAAAAATGCCATATAAAAAGAACACGTCATTTTTGCCCAAAGTAGTCTGAAACCATTCTCGATTGAGCCTAAATTGACAGAATCTCTGTTAGAAATATCAGACTGTTTTTGGCAAAAGTAAAGAAGCTTTCTTTTTTTATGACATTTTCGTTTAAATATAGGGAAGACCTATATTTTTCTTTACTAAAGTATTCCAGTAAAGTAAATACCACATGAAATTTTATTTTGTGGAAGAGAGGGAAAGTGTCATTCCCATCGGTAAGTCTAGTACAGAAGAATTAAGCTGGAAGTAAGGGTGGTACTGTCTCATTTCTTTCCCAGAATGAAAGAAAAAGAAAGTAGATGTTCTTTTGTGGTTTTCTTTATGAATAAACCACTTTGAAGGCTCATGCTCATGATCAGCGTTGAAAGCCGAATCGAGTGATGTGTTTTGCAAAAACTTTTGGAAAACTTTTTTTTCGCAAAACGCAGAAATGAGAAAGTGCCACCTCTCGCTGGAAGTTAGCGCTTTTGATTGTCCCCCGATCTGCAGCAGCACAATGCTAAAGAATTTTTATAATTTTTCACCGGGATTCTCTATCAATAAAATTTGACTTGAGAATAAAACATACTTTGACGAAAAAGGAAACATTAATGATGCTGAATAGCTTTTAATAACGTACAGAAAAGAAATATCACAAATTTATGGTGCTGAATTCGATCTGTATACTAATCATATATTAAAATATTTCCCAAATCAAGTTAGGAAAAATGGAGAACATTAAAGAAACTTTTCAAAACAGTTGGGTTTGTTCACATCATTAGTATTTTCATGCATTGCCTGCAAAACAATTTCCAGAAGCAGAAACTAAGTATTAAAAAACTGAAAATTGACTCCTAGCTGAATAAATGGTCTAACAGAAGCCATTATGTTAAACTAATCGGAATTTTTAATGCATCGCAGTCTTTTCAGACTACATTTTCTTCTATTTATGTGTTTAGACTGTAAAAATGAATGCAAAAAACGCTCTTAAAAGTATGTTGAATGTAACTACCGAATATATCTTTGACAATCCAACAAGTTCGAAAGAAAATTTATTACTATTACCACAGCAGGCACAAGAACGACAAATTAAAAGTAGTGATAAATTTTCTTTTGAACTTGTTGGATTGTCAAAGACATATTCGGTAGTTACATTCAATATACTTTTAAGAAGTTTTTTTTGCATTCATTTTTACAGCCTAAACACATAACCTTTATGTGTTTAGGCTGTAAAAATGCATCGCAGTCTTTTCAGACTACATTTTCTTCTACTAGAAGAAAATGTAGTCTGAAAAGACTGCGATGCATTGAAAATTCCGATTAGTTTAACGTAATGGCTTCTGTTAGACCGTTTATTCAGCTAGGAGTCAATTTTCAAATTAGGAGCTATTGCTTACTTAGTTTCTGCTTCTGAAAATTATGAGCAGGCAATGCTTGAAAGTACTAATGATGTGAACAAACCCAGCTGTTTTAATTAATTTTAAATCATGTCGATGTTTATACGATATACTTTGATCATCATCATCATCATAACATATACATTCATCAAATGATACAATTTTGTACTTTGTATCCTCAAAATGTACTAGACAAAATTTTTTATTAATAGGTGAAGGACGAATAGTAGGAAATTTTCTAGATGTGGCTTT